GCATATCTGGGATCTTGAAAAAAAACTCGCGCTTTGCTTTTATTTGTCATTTGTTTCCATCTGTTCGTCGACGCATGTCCGTGTGCAGATGGCATACTTGTGTTGTCACAAAATCAAAGTTTTCATATATTATCTTGGTGTATCTTTAAATTGATAAAATTACGTGTTTTCATTTCGTCAGAACCAAATCTCGATTCATGAAAAAGGAAATGTGCTGTCATCATCTTAGAAAATTATTTGAAGGCAAACTGTGTGTATGTGTGTGTGCCGAGGAACTGAAGTTGTTCAACACTTTGTTTAGAATCCTTGGTTTTATAGTCCATATATAGTCCATTTTTATAGTCGCGCAAAATATTTTGTAACAGCATGTAGTTGGCACAAGAAAATTAATATATATATGGTATATATATATTCATATATATATATATATATATATATATATATATATATATATATGAAAATGAATATATATATATTGTCAACAATGTTGACAACATTCGCTCCATATCTTCGTCGGGTTTGAGTCACATGCCTTGCTTGGCCGCGGAAGGACTTCCACGTGGCTTTGGTCGCAGATCCCCTTCGTAACAGCCCCTGACGTGTGTGTTGGGCAGTTATCCTGCACGAATAAGACTGTGTCTGGGAAAGGCCAGGGCACAGCAGCATACTCATTCTAACAGTTCAAAATATTTGAGTAAACAGAATCTACGGCGAGTCCACCGACAACATACATGAAAATCCAGCCTTACATGTCAGAGGTCACGTGGCCACCCCCGCCTTTTCCTAGTTATTTCGTCTGAAAAGTAAATTATGGTAGATAATCAGAACATCAAATATGACGTTTAGGGCCCTATCGTGTCTAAACATATAGCTCCCTCCTCCTCCGACGCTGTTCACCTGCGCCGTCGAGCGGGAGATGCCCGGCTCTCTGGCCATTTCCCTGGGAGAGAAATTGCTTTCCCTCGTCACAATAGTGCGGCCAGAATGAGCAAGATTTTTTTTCTTTCATGATATCAGATATCACACAGCACAAGTATTGGGAGTAAGTTCTTAAGACTTGTTTTTCACCCTCCTTGGAGCCACTCAGGCAGCAGTTGCTCACGTTGAAACAAGCGTATACTCTCTCGCTCACTTGATCTAATGCGACTCCTCAGGGAAACGCCACGACTTAAGGAATCATCATAGCGAAAGCACTCATTGGAATAATCGAAAAGAATTATACATACTGTTGCATTAATAATCACCAACTTTGCACACACACACACAGAGTATCTACATATTGCAGCCGTACTGCGGGTTTGCGTTCAGTTAATGTTCCATAATGAAAGATATAATGTGGCATGTTTTTTGTTTTTGTTTATTTAATCATTGTTTTAGTGTTTGGTTCTGGCGAAAAAGAAGCGGCCACTTCATTAGTTCGATTAGTCGCCACTAGATGGTGCAACTACGAAAACCATTTACAAAGGTATCGGCGAGTTTGACGATTTTATTTTATTTGATATAGCTACCATTCATAGCTATTTGAAGCATGAAGTTCTGAAGTGTTTCAAGGAATATGCAGTTATGATAGATACTTGCCGTGTTTAAACTAGGAAATGCCGCCTCACCTCCACAGGTGTTGCCATTTCGATAAGCAATTCCAGGAAATCGTATTTGAGAAATATCCCACAACAAAGTAAAAGATAACAAATACTATATGTTTTGTTACCAATTGTTTGGAGAAAAAGAAAGATCAAATGTCTCACATTGTTTCCAAAAATAGATACTAATGCACTTGTTAGTCATTTATGTTCTACCAATCGCATCCCTTGTTACAAACGGCTTAGGGTTTTCGCCTCATTCATGAAAATACTATTTACGCTATGTTTACATCGAGGTGGGTGCCAGATGTACAAAAGCGGGACCCAGCAAGTGTACTGAAATATAATACCGCAACTGTGCATACACACACACACACTCACACACACACACACACACACACACACACACACACACACACACACACATACATACATACATATATATATATATATATATATATATATATATATATATATATATTGCTACGCCAGAGGGTCTTTGTCTCTGTGCAAACGTGTGCGAGCGCGTGCGAACGCGTGTTGGCGTGTTTTGACAGGAAAATGACGCGGCGGCGGAGGAAGGGGGCAGACGAGAGAGTCGAGTTTTGGTGCCGCTGCTGTGATGACCTCGCGTGTGCCCTTCTCCAGCCTGATATACTTTGTGTTGCCCTGTTATATGCTGTATTGTGCAGTGTGATGTGCTGGTTTGCCTCCTGTATTGTGCCTATAGAAAAGTGTACGGGTAAATAACTGTGTAAATAAAGGAAAGACAGTGATTGTGAGTTTTTCTTTCGTGCCCTGCCTCGCCCGTGGCGTTTTCCCTCGTGGTGTTTTGGGACGGTGTGGTACTCGGTGCCTCTTGGAGCTGTTCAGTGTTCACGACCCTGTGAATAACACGTCGTTTGCCTAGCCTGCCTTGTGTTGATGGCAGGTAGAGAGGTGGCCGGCGTAACATTGGTGTCAGGAGTGGGATCTGTGATATTTGATTAGTGAGACGCGCCGATTTATCATGTCCAAAGAGGGAGAGGAGGCTACGCCTGAGGCCGGCACGAGTGAGGTGAAGCCGAGCCAGATGGACCTGATTACTGCTATGCTGGCCAGTATGAAGGAGGAAATGGCACAAAGGGCAGAAGAACAGGCACAGAGGGCACGCGAGCAGGCAGAAGAGCAGGCACAGAGGGCACGCGAGCAGGCAGAAGAGCAGGCACAGAGGGCACGCGAGCAGGCGCACCATCTCGTCGAGATGCAGGCAAGGAAGGCAGAGGAACAGTTCTGCCATCTTGTTGAGGTGCTACAGAGCAATCTTACCTCTGTGAAGATGGAAACTCAGCAGTACACCGACAAGGCCTGCAACAGCGTGAAGAGTGAACTGCTGGAGGAGGTGCAGACTCTGAAAGGAGAGGTTCAGGGCCTGAGGGAGGAAGTGAAGGCAGAAAGGCGGCGTCACGAGGTAGTAACGTTGCAAGCAGAGAAAGCAGACGAGGTTCTGGCAACAGATGCCAGAGTGTCAGATTTACTCGGGTCTGCCTGGGGTCCGTGGCAGGGAACCTCCGGGCCTCGCAGCGTCGTGTCGGAGCCAGTGGTCACTGCAGAAGGCTGGGGACCCATCGGAACCGCTCCCTTGGGTACAGGTGGCGGCAAACTCGGACCCGGTCAACCCGCCGCGTTGCCTCCCTCACCCCCTCCCTCTCCCCCAGGCGTGTTAGTTCACGGCACGCGTTCTCCACCCCGTAGCCTGTCGGCCTCTAAACATTCTGTGAGGCGTAAGCCAGCTGAGTACGACGGGAATGTGGCCTGGGAGGCATATGTCGCCCAGTTTGAAATGCTGGCGTCTGCCCAGGGCTGGAACCAAGAAGAGAAGGTACTGCAGCTGGTAACGGCGCTAAGGGGCCCCGCGGTGGAAGTGTTGGGGCATCTGCCGCCTTCCCAACATGCCTCTTACACCACCGTGGCGGAGGTTTTAAAACGCCGTTTCGGGCATCACAACCAGGCCGAGGTATATCGGGCCCGCTTGAAGAAGCGGACTCGTGAGCGTGGCGAGACACTGCCCCAGGTGGCGCAGGATGTGGAGGCGCTGGTAAGGAGGTCGTACCCTGCGGCTGCAGAAGAGATGATCGTGGTATTGGCCCGCGATTTCTTTATTGACGCTTTGGAGGACCAGCAGCTGCAAATCTACGTCAAGCAGGCACACCCTGAGGACCTGCAGGTGGCGCTGGCGAGGGCCTTGGAGTTCGAGGCCTTCCTGAAGGCAACCAGTGGCCTAGGGCCAGCTGCTCAGCCCCGCCGTGACCTCCGGGGCCGGAAGGCTAAATTAGAGAAGGTGAGCCCGAGTACTTTCCAAGGCTTGTGTTGGGGTTGCGGTGAGAGAGGGCACAGACGTAGTCGGTGTCGGTAGGAACGGAGAACGTGTCCTGACGCTTTCCAGCAGTGCTGCAAGGGCTGTGGCAGGTATGGTCACCATCCGAGTGCCTAAGGCTAAGGAAGTGGTACAGGCAGAAAACTCGGACAGGCTGGAGAAGGGGGGCCGAAACCCAGCCGTCCTCGATTCCCGGGCCCCGACGTGTGTAAGCTGTCGTCGAACAACTAGCTCGATGCAGGTGGAGGGCTCAGTAGACGGGAAGCCAGGCCGCCTGACAGTGGACACTGGAGCTGAGAAGACCCTAGTGCGGCCTGATATGTTGGCCACTACGCGACTTCCAGACGCACCACAGAGATTGTGTGGTGTCACGGGGCATTGTGTACAGCTCAAGGGGCCAGTGGAGGCTTGTATTGGCGTGGGCAGCACGGTGCAGCGGCTGCCGGTTTATGTGGCCGATATGGACGAGCACTGCTTGCTGGGCCTTGACTACCTGACGCAGAGTAAGGCGTGTGTCGACCTTGGACGGAAGCTGGTGAGGGTGCACGGTGAAGATGTGTCCAGAAGTTGGCTGTGCAGAGGTAGTTACGGCTGAGCGGCTGCACCTTGCCCCCAGGACAGAGTCTAGAATCTGGTGTCGACTGTCAAGAGTGATGCGTGGAGTAGAGGGCCTAGTGGAGCCCATCCAAAACCTGCAGCTAGCTGGTGGCGTAGCAGTTGGGCGGAGCCTTGTTGGAACGAGGGAAGTGAGGTACAACATAGGTGATAGAGTGTGGCTGCATAACCCGCGTCGAAAGCGAGGGCTCTCACCGAAGCTACAGAGCCCCTGGGAAGGGCCATACACGGTGTTAGCGGCCCTCTCTGATGTCACCTATCGAATTCGCAGAGGGCGAAAGCGACCGTCTGTTGTCCATGTGGACCGGTTGTGGCGTTACTATGGGCCAGGAAGCTACTCCTGGAACCATGGTGAGGGGGAAGATGACCGTGAGCCCCAATAGCGGCGATGAGGACGTGGCAATGCTGACCGGGATGAGGACGAGCATTTGGACAGTGGGGGCGATGCGATGGACGTCAGTGGCGACATTGAGCCGGGTCTTGGGGCAGGAGATGCCCTTCTGGGTGCCACTGCCAATCTGCCGCCGCCCACACCTCCAGAGCGACCCCAGCGAGAGCGAAGAAAGCCGCGCTGGATGAAAGATTTTTGTGCTTCTGATAACTGATTTACAATTACAGTTACTTTTGTTTGAAAGAATTTTGTTCATGAGGACTAATTTCATTTAAATTTTCTGTTGTTTGTTTCTTGATTAGATATATCAGAGCAGACGGGTCGTCTGCTTGAAAGGGGGGGATAGTGCTACGCCAGAGGGTCTTTGTCTCTGTGCAAACGTGTGCGAGCGCGTGCGAACGCGTGTTGGCGTGTTTTGACAGGAAGATGACGCGGCGGCAGAGGAAGGGGGCAGGACGGGGGAGTCGAGTTTTGGTGCCGCTGCTGTGATGACCTCGCGTGTGCCCTTCTCCAGCCTGATATACTTTGTGTTGCCCTGTTATATGCTGTATTGTGCAGTGTGATGTGCTGGTTGCCTCCTGTATTGTGCCTATAGAAAAGTGTACGGGTAAATAACTGTGTAAATAAAGGAAAGACAGTGATTGTGAGTTTTTCTTTCGTGCCTGCCTCGCCCGTGGCGTTTTCCCTCGTGGTGTTTTGGGACGGTGTGGTACTCGGTGCCTCTTGGAGCTGTTCAGTGTTCACGACCCTGTGAATAACACGTCGTTTGCCTAGCCTGCCTCGTGTTGGTGGCAGGTAGAGAGGTGGCCGGCGTAACAATATATATATATACATATATATATACTCGCTGGTCTCTCGGGGTGAAGGAAGCTGGATTTTGGGGAGAGTTTCTCGGCCTCGGTTCCCTCTTCTTAAAAGGAAATTACTATCAGTATTTCTAATTAAGAAAAGATCCTGTAACATTCATTCATTCTCTCTCCCTCTTTCTCTCTCTCTCGCTCTCTCCTCCACTCATTCATTCCTTCGCGCTCTCTCTCTCTCTCTCCCTACTTCACTCACTCACTCTCTCTCTCTCTCCCTTCCACTCACTCATTCATTCGCTCTCTCTCTCTCTCCTCCACTCACTCATTCATTCTCTCTCTCTCTCCATTTTTTAATTAGGTGATGAATATGTTAAAAGGAAATCCTACGTTTATTCTCATTTATCTAAACCTCTTTTATTCATCCTTGATCTTTTATTCATCATAGTTGAATGAAATGGCGTTTATTGCAACTTTTCCGATCACTGAGAGCGAGAGAGGCGAAGGAGAGAGGAAGTCACGAGCTGGTGTTCGATAAGTGATTCATCTCTGCCTCGATGCGTGGAGGAAGATTGTGTGTGCGTGTGTGTGTGTGTGTGTGTATGTGTGTGTGTTTGTGTGTGGGAGTGTGTGTGTGTGTGTGAGAGAGAGGGAAGGCCTAGGATGCACATAGAATTACCATTCTGGGTTAAAAACAAAATCTGCTGTCAACCGGAACCAAAGTCTCTCTGTCCGGCCCTGTTAAGTGATGGATTTTTAAATATTAGATCCTACGCCATAACCACGTGTCACCCTTTTTAAACTCATTTCCCCCCGGCTAAATAGTTCCTCCTAAATCCAAAACACGAGCCCGTGACACAGCCTCACCTCGGCGAGTGGGAAGTGCGAACTCCCATGTAGGCCTATGCACCTGCCTAGGATAGCCTTTGTTTCGAATCGATTTGCCTTTTTATGCAAAAGAGTATAGGTAAGACAATATAGATGGTTGTATCTAATGGCAGTAACAGTGATGAGGAGGATAATAACGATAGTAGTAATGACAACTGTAAGTCATATTATGAAAAACAACCAAACACAGAGACATACACACAAACGCACATTGTCAGAGATACATTTACACATACAAACACACACACACACACATACACACAAGCACACACACACACAAAAACCCTCACACATGCACACACATCTTCACACACGCACACAGACACACACACAAACAGCGCAAGCTCCAATAACATATCTATAAGATGTTTCCTCCCTCATTACGAACACATCAGACACATCTCGAAGTCCATTTGATAACTGAATTGATGCATTTATAAAAGAGAATGTTTACACATACACACACACACACACACATACCCTTACACACATACACACACACACACACACACACACACATACATACCCTTACACACATACATATGATAGCGTCTCGGATTTTGTTACTTATGTTGCCAATTAGGAATTATGGGTCAATTTTTTAGTGTTTTTTTATTCTTATTAGATGAAGTTGTCTTTTTAGTCTTTATTTTTTCTTTATTTCTCTCTCTCCCTCCCTCCCTCCCTCCGTCCTCTCTCTCTTTCTCTCTCTCTCTCTCTCTCTCTCTCTCTTTCTCCCTCTCCTCTCTCTCTTACTCTTTCTCTCCCTCCCTCTCTCCGACTCTCTCTCTCTCTCTCTTCTCTCTCTCTCTCTCTCTCTCCCTCTCTTTCTCACTCTCTCTCTCTCTCTCTCTCTCTCTCTCTCTCTCTCTCTCTCTCTCCTCCTCTCTCTCTCTCTCTCTCTCTCTTTCTCTCTCTCTCTCTCTTCTCTCTCTCTCTCTCTCTCTCCCCTTACTCTTTCTCTCTCTCTCTCTCTCTCTTCTCTCTCTCTCTCTCTCTCTCTCTCTCTCTCTCTCTCTCTCTCTCTCTCTCCCTCCCTCCCTCTCTCTCTCTCGCTCTCTCTTTCTCTCTCTCTCTCTCTCTCTCTCTCTCTCTCTCTCCTCTCTCTCTCTCTCTCTCTCTCTCTCTCTCTCTCTCCCTCTCTCCTTCTCTCAATAGCTTATACACAAATAAACACAGATACGCATGCACACACACACAAACAAACTTATATACAAACACACATTCGTGGCTTAAATTTCCCATAAGCTGTGCGTAATTCCCTGTCGATGCCGGATGTCCCTGTGGATGATCACAAACGGAGTCTCTGCGGTTGCAATTGCAGATCATCAGGGAATTCACGAGCCAGCGATGGTTCTCGGGAAGAAACGGCGGAGGATGGAAATGTCGGAGGATTTCCTTTCCTGTGATCGTTCTGATAAATATGACGTATAATTCTTGTCACTGCGAATCTCCTTGGCGATTTTATATAGAGTGCCGTGCAAATAAATATAGGCGTCATGAACTGAGACAAAAGAGCATCGCCGAATCCCTTTCCCGCCGTCCTCGATCCTCTCTTCCAGCCACTCCGTTCTCCCCTTTTGCATTTTTTTTTCAATATCAGCTGAAAAATAACAACAAAAACTAAAGATAAAGATAAAATAAAGATAAAGATGTAGGTGTCATAATCTTAGACAAAAGAGCATCGCCGAATCCCCTTTCCCGCCGTCCTCGATCCTCCTTTCCGCCGCTCCGATCTCGCCTCAACG